ACAAACATTAGGGCAGGCAAGGTCACACTGGTTACATGGTACCTAAACTCATGTCTACTTTGCTATAAATACTATGGTAAAAAAATCTCTTCTCAAGCAATTCATAATGTCCCCCATAACAATTAATTCTAAATTGTGTTCTGTGCAAGATTAGTTCTCCAGCATACTAACAGGTGTTATATAAAAGAGGTTTCCATTGTTAAAGAAATTTGGGAAATAGTGAGCAAGTTTATCATAAGATTTCTCAGAAATTTTATACCTAGTGTGAATCATGAAACTCCGAGAAAGGTATATAAGATACAACTTCTCTAAAACATAATGGATTTCAGAAATACATTTAAAAACATGTAAAGAAAGGCCAGTGCTCTGAAAAATAAACTTTGGAAAATAACAACCTGTGGTAATCTCTTTTAAAATACCAATATTTGAAAATACAAGACAAAACTAGTTTTTTTGGACATGACTGAGCTGAACTCCCGTTTACTTCTCCTAGCACCCCCAATTTTACATTCATAGGTAGAAGTGTGCAGGTGATGATAGTTTCAGTTAAAAATCTTATAAATAAAAGCAATCAATCTGGTTGTGTTCTAAAACTGTCTAATCAGAATACATAAAACACCTGTCTTTTAAAATATGTAGGCAACTTTATTTTCTTTGCTCTTATTCTAAAGCCAGCTTTATTATAAACCAGTTAATTTCTTTTCTTAACCAAGCTACCCTTTAAAAAGAAACCTGTAATTTTAAATAAAGGAGAAAAGTTGACAAAAATGTAAAATTAGCATTCTTTATTGCTCCCTGGTATTTGGAAATGAATACTTGAAAGGTTTGTTGTTTTTAAAATGTGAACATTCCCTTCACTCCACACCCAAACCAAACGCGTGTTTAACTCTTTGGCTTCTCTCTGTAACTCCCTCCCTTCACATTCACTATCCGCCTCCCTCACTTGAGTCCTACTTCATCTCAAATTACCGTCACCATCTCTTAAAGGTTCTGCACTAATAAACAACGATTCTACTACTGCTGTCAGTCTTGCTGATAGCAGTGCCTAACATCTTTGTTCTTTTTTTTTTTTGAGATACCTACAGACTAGGAATAAGAGAAAATTAGCTGAGAATAACTTTTAATTTTTATGGTTTATATTTCTATTCTCGAGCCAGCTTCTTTTCCTTAGTATTTCCAAAGTAAGGATGGGTTCGTTAACAGTATCTTTTAAATTCAACTCTGAAATACAGCTCAGGAGAGTCATTCATTCACTTTTGTGAATTAGCTCATATTTCTATGAGAATTTCACTCATTTGGATATCTGTATCAAATTTATTTCTCCAGTGTGGGTCTGGTCTAACAATAACAATTGATTTCTTTAAGAGCACCTACTGGGACAATTTTATAAATTAAAGTAGCCTTAAGACTTCCCATCTAAGGGTTTACTTCATGGTATTAATCGTGTTTAACCACAGGAATTCCTGTGCTGAGAAGATCTTACATTCACATTGCCATGGTGTGCTGCCCTAGGAGTAGAACAGGCATTACCAGCGTGAAGAGAGCACACAAAAAGCCATCGGCATTTGAATGTTAACTGAAATCGCTACACCTAACTCTCTTTCACTAGCAAGGATGAGGGAAGTAGCGCAGGAGAGCAAGGCTGACATCGCCCCAGTCGTCTGAGACCAATTAGATGGTACACATGCTCTTTTCCAAATGTCACGCTGGAAAATAACTACATGAGAAGTTATTACGTCTGCCTGGCATATTTTGAATACCATCTGTTGAACACTTACCAGGCCTAGCCCTGTACTATGGCCTGTATCATAGAATCTGCTCTCAGCTGAATGAAGATGGTGGGGTCCCCAGGCCCCACAACTGTGCAGAGAGCAGTAGACCAGGATTCTGCTGCTAGGGAGAGCTGATTTTTATGAGTGCTTCCTTTGTGCGTTATGAAGGCTCCTCTACCCGGTCCCTCCCTACACGCTCACTCCCTCACTCTCCCTCAGCTCTTTCACTCAAATTTCACCTCAGTCTTTAAAATGGCACCTCTGTCTCCAGCATTCCTTACCCCCCACCCCTTGCACGACAGCCCTAACTGCCATATAACATTCTAACACAGCTTATTTATTCATTCCCTCACTAAAATGTACGGCACATCCTGAGAGAATTTTTTCCCATTTACTTTGTTTATTGCCCTGTCCCTGGTGACAAGAACATACCTTGACACAAATATTTATCTATTTTAATCCTTACACAAAGCCTAAGAGGAAGACAATTATTATCTTTACTGTATAGATAAGGAAACTGAAGGTTAGAAAGGGTGACTTGTCCAAAGTGCGTAGTTACAACAAAAATAAACTCGTGATACATGAAACGACATGGATACATCTCCAATGCACTGTTCTGAGAGAAAGAAGATTGATTCAAAAAGCTACATGCTTTATAATTCCATTCGGATGACTTTCTGGAAAAGGCAAAACTATAGAAAATAGATCAGTGGTTGTTGGATAGGGGAAGGGTATGATTACAAAGGGGAATGGCAGAACTTATGTTGGTGATAGAATGTTTCACCGCCTGATTGTGGTTAAGTAAGATGACTAGGACCAGGTGAGGTGGCTCATACCTGTAATCCTAGCACCCTGGGAGGGGAAGGGAGGTGGATTGCTTGAGCTCAGGTGTTCGAGACCAACCTGAGCAAAAGTGAAACCCCATCTCTACTAAAATTAGAAAAAATAGCAGGGCATTGTGGAGGGCACCTGTAATTCCAGGTAATTGAAAGTTTGAGGCAAGAGGATTGCTTGAGCCCAAGAGTTTGAGGTTGCTGTGAGCTGTGATGCCCCGGTATTCTACCTAGGGTGACAAAGTGAGACTCTGTTTCAAGAAAAAAAAAGTAATGTGATTAAATCTTTGCCAAAACTCACAGAATTGTACTCTAAAAAAGGTGAATTGTACTATGTGAATGTGATAGGCAGAATAATGTTCCCTCTGTCTCCAAAAATGTTCATGTCTTATTCCCCAACCTGTAGATATATTGCCTTACATAGCCAAGGGTCTCTACAGACGTGATTCGGGGTCTGGAGATGGGGAGATTGTCCTGAAGTATCTGGGCCCAGTGAAACCCCAGGGGTCCTTATGAGAGGGAGGGAGGAGAATCAGAAGACTTGAAGTGCTGGCTTTGAAGAAAAAATTCCATGAGCCAAGGTATGTGGGCAGCCTCTAGAAGCTGGGAATGGCAAGGAAACCAATTCTCCCTTAGAGCCTGAGAAGGAACCAGGCCTGCTAACAGCCAGTAAGACTGATTTTGGACTTCTAAGCTCCAGTACTGTAAGAAAATAAATTTGTGTTGCTTTCAGTCAGCATTTAAGTTTGTGGTAATCTGTAACAGCAGCAGGAGGAGAGTAATACAATAAATTATGCCTCAACAAACTTGATTTTGTTAACATCTGTAAACTATTGAAAATAATACCTCATATAAATTGTTGCAGAGATTAAAGGATATAATTCATAAAAAACACTCAGCTCACTCCTAGCATTCACACACTTTCACTAAATGGTAGCTATTATTATACAGAAACTGAATTACTGAGTGTAATGGGACTGCTTTATATTAGAATATGTCACAAATACAATATTATACAAAAAATTTCTTTAGCAACTCCTAAGCACTACTTAATGGCTATAATCTGACCCAGACAAATGATTAGATTATACATATATATAGATACACAAACTTTATCTTGTGAGAAGAGTTCCAGGTTAGTACTTTTAAATTTTTGGATTATAAACCGTACTACTCTGTGACGTATCATATTCTTTAATTAGCCTGTGACATTATCCTACAAAAAAGCTTCTGAATCTAAATCTATATTGATACATAACGAACATCTGTCCAACCTGATTTTCTGGCCCTTTTTTGGGATCTACGTAGGGAACTGGTTCATTGTATGTTCTTGCATTTGTGTAAATGAATTTAGCATAATATACACGTCCTCTCCCAACACATGGTTTTGAATGTTGTATGCTTTTTCCAGGGTTTTTTTCATGTTCGATTTCTTCTTTTTTTTCAGTTACATACACTATACCAGCATCTTCTATTTCATGCTGTCTGAAAAACATAATTAAATAGTAAATCATTTACTCCAATAATCATTTCAGTACTGAGTCATAATTACACAAAATAAGGTTTAAATATATTTCAAACATCAGTCAAGACAATGTAGACTATTAATATTTATGAGGGTCTGTGCTATTAAAATTGGGGAGGATATCTTCTAATTTTAAATCACATAGAAGAGATTTGTGTTAATAGTGATTACTCATTACAATATACTAGTATAGTGTACCAACTCTTGTTTTCTTGGAATAAAGGAAGAGTAGTGATTAGACCATGCTTACAAATCGTATTTTCAGTATTAATGCATGTGGGTAAGTTACATGCTAAACTTAACTCATCTTCTTTAAAGTATTATTACCAAGAGATAGCCGCCTACCCCTTACCTAGTAAACAGCCACCTGAATGAGGATCAGCTATTTAACTTTGAAAGCTTACCTGGCAGACTTTAAAGCTACCAGATGACCACCATTATTTATCTTTCCAAGAAAAGGCCAGTGTGCAAGCAGTAAAAATCAATTTCATCACTTTTTGCTTCTAGCAACTACACTACTACAAAAATGAAAATATTTTTGAATGTTTAGAAATAGCTTAACAAATTTTTATTTTAAATACAGAGAAACAGACTTGAAAGGGCAGTATTTTAAAGTTTCACATGCTTGAAAAATAAAAAATGAAATGGAACGAATTTGAGTATTTTTTACATAGATGCTGTTACAATCAAAGCTGTGACCCCACAGAAGGTGAGACAACAAGATTTCAAATGTCTAAAGTGGAAAATTCTGTTTAACCTTATACATAGCCCTTAAAATATAAAACCTTTGCCTTCCTTCAAAACAGAGCCAGGTCTAGCTCTTCTGTCATGTCATTTTTTTTTTTTTTTTAAGTTAAAACGATCAAGTGGCTTTCCATTGCATTTGCAATAAAGTACTGCCTCCTGATTGTAGCTTTGAGGTCCTCTGCCACTGCTCCAGCTAATCTCCTTAACCTCCCTCCGGCCTCTCCCCCACGCTTCTGTAGCCGGCCTGCCTTCAGTCCTGGAACACACCACTCTCTTCTCTCCTTAGACCATCTGCACGTGCTGTTCCCTCTACCTGAGCAGCCCTTCCCCAGCTCCCTCGACACAGCTGACTCATTTCATTTAGGTCTCAGCTTAAAAGTCATCTCCTGAGCAGCTTTTCCTGGAGTGCCCCTTCACCAGCCCATGGGTTCTCTATTTTAGTACTCAGTCCAATTCTTTTCTAAACTACATTTTATGTACCTAGTTCTTCATTTACTTGTTTTTAGTAAGCACTACAAATATCATTTACTAGTCAAGAAGTTCCATGAAGGTATAAGTTGTTTTATGCGTCATTATGTACGCACACCTGGACAAGTGTATTACTCATTGAAGGTAAATGGATTTTCATAATAATATTTACATATTTCTGGTGAATCTGCTGGAGTTGCTTTCTCTCTGGCTTTGTTTTAGCTGTATACGCCCAATCCTCACTCCATTACGCATATAAACAGTATTCAGAATCCTTGGATTCTAGTTTCCTGCTTCCCAACTAAATTGCTTTTTGTAAAGGATTTAGAAACACTGATTACTGGTAAAATGTAAATAATCTTTTTTTGGGGGGGGGTAGTTTTGATTTGTCACCCTTCATAGAGTGCCATGGTGTCATAGCTCACAGTTTGGCTATGAGTGATTCTCTTCCCTCTGTCTCAGGCATTTGCCACAATGCCAGGCTAGTTTTTTCTATTTTTAGCAGAGATGGCGGTCTGCCTCTTGCTCAGGCTGCTCTCTAACTCCTGGGCTCAAGCAATCTGCCACCTTGGCCTCCCAGAGTGTTAGGATTACAGGCGTGAGCCACTGTGACTTGCCTTTTCTATCACCTTTCCAGAGATGTAAGTATTATTGAAAGGGTGGAGAAGGTGACACCTGTGGCTCAAAGGAGTAGGGCACCGGCCCCATATGCCAGAGGTGGCGAGATCAAACCCAGCCCTGGCCAAAAACTGAAAAAAAAAAAAAAAAAAAGGGTGGAGAATTTGGGGTCAACTCTTATTGTAGACTTTGCAGGGGTAAATCAGTTTTTTCCACAGCTGTTTCTCATAGTTGTAACCCAGTAGTACCTTTGTACAGGAGTTGGGTCCTTGGGACTGTGGCTATTTGCTTGTGTACTCATGCACTCATCTGATTAAGCACTTGTGATGTGACTGGCTATAGGCTGATACATAAATGTCAAATACAACTCTGTAGCAATCTCTTACCAGAAGGAAAACAGATAAAAACACTAGTGGGCCCTGAACCTCGTGAGACCTAGATTGAAAAACCCAGCTGGGCCATTTAATATCTGAGCCTTCATTACCTTACTTGCATGAGGACAGTAATGCCTATTGTGAGATGTGAGAATAACACAGAATCATGCATTCTTTCAACAGATATTTATTGAGTTGAATATGCTAAATGTGGTGGAGGTGCTGAAGATAGAGCAGTGACAAAATAAAAATTCCTGCCCTCACAGAGCTTACATTCTAGTAGGGGCGAACAGTACACACACACACACACACACACACACACACACAAAAGAATAAGTACAGTCTGCAGCTGGTGTTAAGGCCGAAGGACAACAATAAAGCAGGGACTGGGGAAAGGGAGTGCAGGTATGTGGGAGGTAGGATACATTTTTAGGTAGAGTGGAGGCTGCATTGTGAAGGTGGCAAAGGAAAAAAGACAAAAAGAAGGGAGGGAGGGAGAGTTAAGTGCATGTGTGAGGGAAGGGTATTCCAGAAGAGTGAACAGTAGCTGCCAAAGCTTCACAGAAGTATGCTCATCCTTAGCACAGTGCCTCTCAAAGTGTGGGCGCTGGAGGAGCAGCGCTGGAATCAACTGTGACCTTGTTAGAAAGACAAACTTATGGGCCCCATTGCAACCTACAGAATCATAATCGCTGGGGCTGGTTCCCAGGAACCTGGTTTAACCATCTGTTCAGCTGATTCTTATGCACATTAATGTTTGAGAGCCATTGTTCTAAGGACAAAAATACAGGCTCTGGGAGCAGGCTCCACATCACTGGTTAACTAGCTGAACTACTTTGATTCAATGGTTCTCAAAATTTAGGGCACATCAGAATCACCTGGATGCCTCGTTCTAGCCCAGGTTGTTGAGTCCCACCCCAGAGTTTCTGATTGAGTATATATTGGGGTGGGAAGGCCCTAGGAATTTGCATTTCAAACAATGCTGGTGGTGGTCTGAAGATCAGTCTAAGAATCACTGAGCTGATAGCAAGGAGGCCTGTGTGCTGTAGCAGAGTCCTGTCCGAGGTAAGCTGTGGATAAGGCCGAGGAAGGAAGGGGAAGGGACATGTTGGAGGAGCCTCATAGGCATTCACTCTACCCTGTCAGATGGAGAATAGTGATCTAACTTGTGCGGTAAAGACCACGCTGGCCACTGTATTAATAAGGCTGCAGAAGGGGGAAGGGAGGGAGATTGGTGTGCTCTCGCCAAACAGGCACAAGGTAAGGGTAGGTGGCACGCCCGGGTGAGGGGCACAACTACAGCAGGGGCTTTACCTAACAAATGCAAACAATGTAAGTTAATCGTTTATACCCTCCTATTAATCTGAAATTTAAAAAAGTACAAAATACACACAAAGAAGGGCAACAGAGGCAGCCACGCCGCCACTTAGAAGACTACTGTCGCTTCCAGGTAAGAGAAGATGGGATTTGGAATGAGGAGGGGATGATGATGGAAATGGTCAACAGTGGCGGATTCTGGATAATTTTACAAGTGAAGCCTACAGAATTTGCTAATAAGTTACACTGGATGTGTCTATGAGAAGGAGTTAGTTGATGATTGCACGATGACTTCCAGAATTCTAGGCTAGGTAATGCATGTAAAGGGCCCGACACGCAGTGTGCGCTCAGCAAACGGCGAGTTTTAAAAAATGACTGTAAGCGCTCAGCTGCCAGAAACCAGAGGCAACCTGGGGACTGTCTGAGGTTTGGCATGGGCTGTCCGTGTTCAGGACCCATCCCTTGGGTGTCACCTACCCCTCCCACTGTAGGAGGAAAATAACTTTTCAAAAGGGAAAATACAAAACCACACCCCAGCACTTACTGCTGTATATCATGCTCTCCCTCCATGGGCACCTACGGCCTGGCACCAGGCAGCGAGGAGCCTCCAGGAAGAACAGGGATGCAGCCCTGCCTGGCACGAGAGGTGAGCAAAGCTCGGCTACTGTGACTCCCGCGTTGCTAAGCGACAGCGGCCTTGGGAAGGGCGTGGGGGCGGGAGCCGGGGCGCGCAGGCGCAGTCACCCGGTTGGCTCCGGGCCGGCGGCTGCGAGCGCGGCTGCGCGAGGTGGGCGGGGGCGGCTGGCTGGGTGTCCCCAAGCCCAGGCTCTGCGTCTTGCGTCTGAATTTTCACTTTCCCCGGTAGAGCTGGCAGGGGTATTTACAAGGGCCGACTGGGTCCTGCAGGATCAGGCAGTGGCTGTTTCCGGAGCCTCCCCCGCGGCCCTGGGCTCTGGTGCTGGGGGCGGTGCTGCTGGCGTCGCCCGGGCGCTGCACTGCTGCCCTAGCTGGCTCCAGAAGTGCGGGCCAGCAGGAGGGGAACTTGTTTTCCCTTGACCCATTAAATACTGTGCAAGTGGTGATTCGCTGCTCCTGGGCTGCCTAGCTTTTGCATGATAAAGCTTGGCTGTCACTGTTTTCCACCATTTTTGACAACACCCCTACCCCCGCCCCCTCCCGGCTGGGTGGTGAGGATTAAAATAGAGCAAGTGAACACACTTCTCCTGCAAATGAGGCTCCCTGTGGTGTGTGCATCTGTTCCCGCCTGAGCGAGGTTCACAATCGGGTGGCTTAGGCCGCAGGTTGGGGCTTGTACTTGTAGCACTTATCCAAAAAGAGCAAGTTCCTGGGAAAAGCCGTTATGACTTGCGTCCACCTTCTGGCTTTGGAATTTCTTACCTCATTACACCATTGCCTCTCAGTTTCCACTACCTGAGCCAGAGGTCTTTGGCATCTGTCATGGTAATTCATGCATTTCCCTGGATGATGGAAAAAGAGGAGTCGTTACTGAGTTGAATTAAACTGTATATCACGCTTTGCTTGTGCCTACGTTTTGTAATCCAGAGTCAGTATCAATGTGGATGACATTTACTTTGGAGAGATGAAAGAGCAGAGGTTGGTCCTAGGACTCATTTCACATGTGTGAACTGAAGTCCGTCAGGAAGAAGGGTATATGAATAGATCTGACACCTGTTGACCGAGATAACAAGGTCTAACAAGTGTGGACCTTGTTAAAGACTGGAGTGTGTGTAAATGTGTTATTGTCTGTGTATGTTTGGTGAATAAGATGTGGGTGGGTAAACAAATACGGGGAGAGTGGGTTGACAACCTGAAAGCAGAGGAAACGAACATTTATCGTGCTCCCACTTGGGAACCAGGCATTTGTTAGGCACTGTATTAAACACCACCTACTTGATCTAACCATCCAACTGCGATTAGGAGCTTATGTCTGAATGCTGCTCTACCTCTTATTAGCTAGTTCGTTCACTTGGGCAAGTAATGTAACCTCTCTGAGCCTCAATTTCTGCACTCACGAAATGGGAAGAATACCTAGGGAGCTTCTGACATTAGATGATTTAAATAAAGACAGAGTATTCAGAGTGGTGCCTGATACTTACTAAGTGCTTGGTCCTTATCAGCTATTATTTTTTGAGCAATTTGATCTACATAAGCTGCCACAAGTCCTTGATGCTCAGTCAACTCCCTCATTATTCCCTTTTAACTTCTATTTTAACTTTGTTAGGAGTCAGAAAACAATGCTCTAAAATGAAGGCCTCAGAAGCAAAGGTTTTTCTCTGACCCAGTCCTGCCCTCCTTTCTTTTCAGTCCTATTCTCCCTGTGGCTAGCCATAGAAACTAGAATCCCTCTTTCCCAAGGCGGTGATAGAAACTACAGCCCCCTTTCCCCAAAGCCAGCCATAAAACCTAAAAATATTACTCTTAACTTCCCCCTCCCTTGCAGTTCTAGCCACAAAAAAGATTATTTACCTTGTTTGTAGGTTACACGGTATGACCCTGATTCCAGAAAGGGTCCTGGAATGATGTTCAGAGATGCCAAGAGGAATCTAGAAAGGCCTTGCTCCATTGCCCCACTCAGTCTCTTCACATTAAAAGGGTACCCTTTCATGCAATCATTTTTCTACATGGCTGTCCATGTTTTGTTGAACAGTTTCCCCTGTATCATTGAATCTTCATTCTGAAGGTTCCTGTGTACACATTGAATATGGCTTTTCTCCTATGAATCTGACTCTTGTCAGTGATTTTTTTTTTATTGTTTAATTTTGGCCCCTACAACCTTCACCAATCTCTTTAAGCTCCTAAAACTATTTAATCTCAGGAACAGTCCCAACTGCTTGATAAGAAATGGGAATTTTTCAACTTTCTCTTGTCAAACCAATGAATTCACCTGCATTCATACAGAATGAGAATTGTCTCTGTTTTGAGCAATATAGTATTAGTCTAAAACATAATTATGTTAATCTCTTTCCGACTGTTAAGCAGTTCTAAATGCTTTTCATACCCATTAATCTTAAACGTTAAGAAATTATGCCTACTACAGGGAAATCACCATCTAGTTAAAAGGTGAGACATACAGAAAAAAATTGTGAATAAAACAATACATAAAAGCTTTATGTGATAATCACAAGTGTTAAATTTCAATACTGATACTTATTGGTGCCAATTATTTTTGGTGCCTTTTCTGCAGGGCATTGCATAATAAAATGGATTGCACAGTAATTATTGACTTTGTATACAGAAAAAGCACTAGACTGCTACTAGTGGCTTTTATTACTATTTGACTTGGGAGAGCCACTGAAACCTGTCTGTGCTGTAGATTTGCACTTGCTATAAAGAGGTAGCTTAGATAATCTTTGTGTAGATTTGCACTTGCTATAAAGAGGTAGCTTAGATAATCTTTGTGATTCACTTTCACAGGTGTAAAATACAGTGATTCTGTTGAAAAACTCATGTCTGAAAAATCAATGAACGCGCTAGCCTACATGCACGTAATTCTCTCATTTGGAATAGGTAGTTTGGATACTTGCCAATGAATAATTCATAGTTACTAATACAGGGCAAGTTAAAAATACCAGCACTATTTAGGCAAGAACACCATATGTGAGGGACACAATGGGATAGAAGTTACCCAAAATGTTATAGATGCAGAAAATTATCACCAGTTTTTTGGAACCATAGGAAAATGACAAAAATAAAGAATGGCACAGTTGTATAACTGAATAGGGAAGCCGAGGCTTGGGGAGATTGACCTTCTGCTCAGTTCTTTCTTCAGTGATATGCTAGGAATTCAGGTGAAGATCTCAACAGTACCACATAAATAATAGCCCTGATCCTGTTTTTGAAAAACATCATCTGGTCAACCTTATATACATGAATTGTGAAGAGTAATAAGAAAATACACTTAGAGAACTTATCCTGCCTATAGCATTCATTAAAAGTTAGCTGTTCGTATTCTATTTTTAAATAGCAGGATGAAATGTTCATCACATTTCATGCATTACGTTGTCTTTTTTATTTTTTTTTGCAGTTTTTGGCTGGGGCTGGATTTGAACCTTCCACCTCCGGCATATGGGGCTGGCACCCTACTCCTTTGAGCCACAGGCGCTGCCCTGCTGTCTTTTTTTCATTATGCTAGGCTATAAAAACTTTATCAAACCGAAAGAGGCATTAATTTAAAGACAAATTAATGGAAACGAGAAGTGTTAATGTTAGGTTTGCTCATCTTTGAGGATGGATAGGTACAAATAAGTCACAGAAACCCAAGGGACCTCAGTTTTCCTCTTATCCACCTTTAATGCTAATTGACATACAGGTTTAAGAGAGACACATGACAAAACAAAGTATGGGTTATATTTTTTAAAAGCTCGATCTGTATTATGATGATATATATGGTGATATAAATGACCATAGATACTACAGATATGCCTGGGTATGTTTATATTGATACAGATGTACAAATTAAAATCTCAATTTTTAAGATACCTCTTGAAATAACAAAAACAATTGTAGTCTGGGTTACTACAAAAAATCATTGTCAGAAATCACTAGTTTGGAAACTTCGCCAATTGAATGAAGAAATCTGTATTTTATGAATTTGGAGGGTTCTCACTGCCTCTATGGTTTCATAATTCAAAGTTCATGTTTAAATAATCCCAGCTCTGGTTGCCTTTATAGAATTTGTATGACTAAAGGATGAACGAAAAGCTAGCTGGAGGTGGGAAAAACAGCAAAGGGCCATTGTGGTACTATAGTGCTCGTCTAGTGAAGATTGGCTGAATGAATGGTTATGAACATTTAGCTTCCTGAGGAGGGAACCTTGTGAAATGAAACATGGCTAGGGGGTTACCACTATCAGTGGTAGTTTCTCTACCTCTTGAGGTAAGCCATTGCAGTATGGCCAGGCACGGTGGTTCATGCCTGTAATCCTAGTACTCTGGGAGAATGAAACAGAATTGCTTGAGCTCAGGAGTTGAGACCAGCCTGAGCAAGAGTGAGATCTCATCTCTACTCTTCATTTCTACTAAAAATAGAAAAACTAGCTGGGTGTCATAGCAGGCACCTGTAGTCCCAGGTATTTGGAAGGCTGGGGCAAGAGGATCTCTGGACTCCAAGAATTTGAAGTTGCTGTGAACTATGATGATGCCATGGCACTGTTCCTAGGGCAGACAGAGTGAGACTCTGTCTCTAAATAAAATAAATTAACCATAATGATATACATTAAACATAAAATTCTAAGTACAATCTTTCTAATATGACTAGAAAATATTAGGAACACGTGTCTTGCGATTAAGCAAAAGTAACTAGCAAGAATAAAACTGGCCCAAGTTGTACGGGTCTGTGGTGAGGGGAAGACTGAGACAGGGAGGCTGTGATGAGCAAGGGGACAATCTGATAGCCATTCAGCTGTGGGGCTGGAGTGAAAAGGGAGTGTGCTCTGCCTACGCATAAAATGTCATCGTGCACAGCGCGTCCTGACAATAGTGCAGCAGTTAATGCTCCGTGGTTGGCACAACAGAAACAGTAACAATTCAAGAATAAGCACACAATCCCCA